TGTGGATGTGCAGCGAGAGGGCCCACCACCAGAGGATGCGCGGGACGACCAGGTTAGGAGGGATATGGATCCAGCCCCACAGGTGTCAGGTCAAATCGAGCCATCGCCAGAGGCTAGTCGCCCCGCCCCAGCGGCCACAGCTCCTTCGTTTTCCCCAGGGGCCTCGATTGCCCACTCCGGGGTTCGCCGCGTTCTCGAGGGTCCCAGGGCCGAGGAACGAGGACCAAATTCCGAGGCCGGATCGGCAGAAGCCCAAGCCGGGTCGGAGAGGACCAGGTTCCCATCTAACGACCTCTCCCGTCAGTCCTCGGAAGCCCATGGTTCCAGGGAAGGAGTAGAGAGAGCTGGGCCTCCGATCCCTGCCCCGGATCCCTCCGCCTCTCCTTCTCCGGTTGCGGCTCCTCCTCCTTCCGTTTCTGTGCCTCCTGCCCCTCCTCCTCCTTCTCTTCCTCCTCCTCTTCCTCGTTCTCAAGAGGAGCCGATGTCAGAAGGGGCGGCTGGGGGATCTCGGATGACCGGCGTTCCTCCCAGACCCAGGGCGCGCCTGGCGCAGCCCGAGGACGTGCCGGCATGCATTCGACGTGCCAGGTCCGAGGCCCCACCGGAAGCGAAAAGACCAAGGATTGGGTCCCCCCCTCCTGGTCTTGCGACTGTCCCTCCCCTCTCGTCTGGTCCTCCCTCCTCTTCCCACCCCTAGCCTTTCTCTTCCGAAGCTGGAGCGTCGCCCGTTGTGAGAGAAGAGGAGCCAGCCAGACAGGTGCAGTCGGGCCGGCTGGAACCTCGAAGACCAGTCAGCCAGATGGTGCGCGATCTCGAGACACCAGGCCTGGCACGACCACCCGCTAGAGGCAGGAGTCGTTCGCCTGCAGGTGAAGCCGCTGACTTTCTCATCTTCCCAGGGGAGGTGGGCGACGGTGTCCAGGCCAGGCTCCTGGACCCAGGAGTTTTCGAGGATTCCGAAGTTTTTGCCACCAGTAGGGGAGGGGAGGTTTCTCTGAAAAATCTGTCACCGGCCGAGAGGGAGAAGTTCGCCGCCTCCGACTCCAAGGAGTGGGAAGCGATGCTAGGCACGGGGGCCGTCGAGATCATTTCCCCGGCGAAGGCGGAAGTTGTGCGGAAGGTGCACTCGGATCGGATCATCTCTAGTAGAATGGTCCGACGATGGAAGCCGGTGGAAGGAACGTTCAAGGATCCCGATGCCAAATCACGATGGTGTGTTCATGGGCATAGGGGCCCTGATTCAGGAGCTTTGGCGGTCTATGCCCCAACACCGCAAACGTCGAGCATCATGATGTTTTTGCAGGTGGTCATGAACCTGGGTTTATTCGCCGATATTGCCGATGTTAAAAATGCGTTCTGTCAGTCCGACCCCATGTCCCGCACCCAGGGCCAAATCTTCGTGGAACCCTGCGAAGGAATCAGACTTCCCCCAGGTTCCTTGATTCTCTTAAAGGTGAACGTTTACGGACTTGACGATGCTCCCATGGCCTGGAGAAAGACGGTCGTCAGCTTCTTGGAGCGTCACGGTTTTACGCGTTCCCTGTTAGAACCCTGCTGGTGGATACGATATGGACCAAACGGCAGTGTTCGGAACATGATGCTTCTAGAAGTTGACGACTTCTTTATTGGGAGTGCTACGACCGAGGACCGCAAGTGGCTCAGGGACCGACTGGAATCGAGATTCAAGTTCGGGAAATACCGCGACTGTGGTGCCGGACCGGTGGACTTCGCAGGACGTCGAATCACCATCGGGCCCAAACGTGCTGCAGTAGATATGGAAAAGTATATCTTGGAGGAGATTCGACCATTGTCCGTGGCACGAGGTAGGTTGTCGCACAAGGATGCTCCACTTGAACCCTCTGAGTTCCGTGCTTTGAGATCTCTAGTGTATAAGTTCAACTGGCTCGGACGCGAGGTTCGTCCAGAGGCAGCTGGGGTGGCGAGTATTTTGGCAGGTCGCCTGAAGGCGGCAACCACCAGAGACATCATCATCGCCAATAAGCTCGTTCGCCATCTGCGATCATCAGCATCCAGGGGCACTACTGTATGGAAGCTGGACCCAGATAAAATGGCTTTTGTATCATTTTCAGACGCGGGGTGTGCGGGTGCTTTTGGGGATATGATGGACGAGAAGGGCCTCCCCGAGGATCCTACCTAAGGGGCATGGATGGTTCTCGCTTGTGGCCAAGCTATTCTAGATAACAAGGCTGTTAAGGCGTCTATCCTCGGCTGGAGGAGCTCAAAGCTCCGTAGGAAGGTGCCCTCTACGTTAGCAGGAGAAACACAAGCCTTGTCTGCCGCTGTAGCAGAAGTAGAATATCTTCAGATTCTATATCGAGATGTTGTTTTTAATGATGTCCATGTTCGAGACCATCATAGGGGATCTGGGCCGTTCACTACTGTTTTACGCCGGGACTGCCGTCTGGGATCTAGAGAGAAGCAGGTGCACGTTGTAGATGCCAAGTCTATTTATGGCACGATGATAAAGGAAGGGAATGCT